TAAGGCAATGAAAAGTGCCAAAGAAGTGAAGTTACTTGATATTATGGATGGCGTACTTGCAGATGCACATGTAACTTCCTACAAACCTGTTTTCGATATACATGTTTTATAATTCTTATATAATATAATCTAATCTATTTCTTATTGTTTATGTCCAGGAAATATATTACAAGTTAAAAGCAAAAATTACAGACATTATAAATAAAGATGAGCCATGGCATTCTTCATGCAAAAAATGTTTCAAGAGAGTTGATGTTATAAAAGATACTGCAACTTGTGGCAGCTGCAACATAGAAAATGTTGATTATGAAAGCAGGTGAGATTGAACAACTCTTTTAATTATTTCATTTAAATGAACCGGTTATGATTTTTGTAAACAATCGACAATATTTTAGATATTGTTTAAGAATTGAAGCTTGTGCTGGAGAACGACGTGTTCGTGTTATACTTTTTGACGCTGCAGAATATTTATTTGGTTGTGATGCCAAGGAGTATATTCAATCAATCTCTACGAAGGTCTGAATATTCTTTATTATAAATTTAAATGTACTAATACTTTGAAAGTATTTCAATAAGAAAATACGTTTCATAAATTTTAATTCAATACATAAGTTAATTTTAGTTGTATTCTTGTTCTTTAACTGTGCAGAAGGAAGAACCTAATTACTACCGTAAGTTGGTGCTGAGTAAAGATAAAAAATTTATTTTTTTTGTCAAGATTGATAAGAAAAATGAAAATTCAGGAAGGAGTTTAATAGCTCAAGAAATACATGAATTTTAAGACGCTGACACAATCAAAGTTCTGGAAGAGAAGATAAACCAGCAAAGATACGAAAGAAGAGGTCGAAAAGAAACAATGAAGATCAACGTCCTATTTCTAATAAAGAGTCAAAGTAGAAAAAAATTAGTGCTCTTTCTTTATGACCAAATAAACTATGAAATATTATTATTTGTCAAGTTGTATTTGTAGAAGTATTATTGTATTCTGTAAACTTAATTATTCTTATATCATTATGTAAAGACAAATTGTGCTGGCAGAGCATTAAATGAAATTTTCATTCTTCACTAAATTATTTTCAACCATAATTCTTCTAATACTTTAATTGTATCCATTTTACAGATTATTTAATCTATTTTTACATAGAGGCAATTATTCAATCGGAAGAGGCGTTACGCCCCAACCTATCATAGATATATATTTAGCTAAATAATTTATTTTTATTGTAAATTTAAATATCAACTGAAATCGTTTATGAAACAAAATATCATTTTACTTAAGGAAGAAGCCTGTTGAGGTACGGACATTAAAAATTATTACTCTATATTATATTGACTACTGTTAATTTATCTTATTCAATCACGTTATTAATTGATCTATGTAGGATAACATAAAATTATACAAAATATCTGAGAAATAAAAAATAAAATTATGTCTCATGCAGGCAAATTAAGCATGGCAACTCGGACAAACCTCAACCCAAAATAACAGGTAAACTTCACCAAGTTCTTTCAATTGATATTAATATAATCTTTTCTCAATTACTAATATCATAACATAAAAAATTTAACAAGAAATAAATGAAAATCAATTGCAATATCTAACGTAACTGATAAAGATGGAAATAATGCTACAAACAAGATGGGTCATTCAGGTGACGCAATTTATACCTTAGAAAATAAATTAACTCACCATATTATGATCAACTATCCCTAAATTAAAAGAAATAAAATATATACGTTATTTAATCTTCATATTTTAATTTGTGTACATATTATATTAATTGTCACAAACTATTAATATTTGTTTTTGCATAATAGAAAATTCATCATTAAAAAAAGCATTGCGAAGGGTGCAAAAATATGTTGCATCCACTCAGCCTATTAGCGATGCACCCTTTGAAGATACACGGCCGAAGAGGCAAAGTAGAAACTGGTCACTTATTGCTTTATCAGAAGAAAACCAAAATGGAGGTATATTTACTGCACTAACTTAGATTGATTTTCTTTATTTTCATTACATTTCAAATTTCAAATAATATTACAATATAATATTTTTCACTGCTTCATTTAGACGGAACTCCTTGCAACCTATCATCTTTAAATACTCATAAGTTGGAAAAAATCCTAGAATGTACATTTTGTCATGCCAGGAGGTTTCAATATGAGCCTCCAATATTTTGTTGCGGAAGTGGATATATCAAGCTGGCAATCCATGACGTTCCGTCGGAGTTATATGAATTATTTGTAGCTACGTCTGAAGAAGCCAAATTATTCCGAAAAAATATCCGAGCATATAATAGCATATTTTCTTTTACATCTTATGGAGTTATGCTCGATAAAGAAATAACATCTTCAAGGAAAGGAGTTTATACTTTTAAGGCGCAAGGACAAATATATCATCATCTTCCGTCATTAGTCCCACATGATGATAATCCATGCTATTTTCAGTTGTACTTCTATGATACAGATAATGAATTGTGCAATAGAAAACTTCAGGAAGCAAACTTATCGGAGGAAATCGTGGCAAAAATCAGGAAAATAATGGATGAAAATCCATATGCACAATTCTTTTTCCAGCTAAAAGACCAACCGACATTTCAAAATTTACAAGTTCGAATAGCAGCGAATGCTTCTTTAGATCAACAGGTGTACAACAAACCGACAGTAGATCAAGTTGTAGCAATTTGGATAGACGAAAACAATCCTAATATCCTATTTGAAAGAGATATTTTGGTTCATGAACATTCAGGCAACAAACATCGAGTTAGACAGTACTATGGTTGTTATGACCCACTGCAATATCCTTTACTTTTTCCAAAAGGTGAAAGAGGTTGGCATCAAGGAATAAGGAAGTGTCGCAATCCTAATAGTTGCAGTACCACAAATGAAAGTGCCAGTTCCAACACAAATGCACAAACATTTGTATCTGCAACTGAGGTGTTTGCCAATGAAGAACAAGGTAATATTTATGAATTACGCAAATACATTTTTAAGAGTTTAAAATTATTATTAATTATCACTTTAAAAATCATACTTATAGGTGTCCCTCGTGAAACTAAAGGATATGTGTCTTGTAGAGAGTATTATTGCTATAACCTACAAATTCTCAAAGAAGATAATTGCATAATACTACTATGTGGTAGATTATTGCAACAATTTGTGGTTGATATGTATATAAAATTAGAAACGACAAGACTGGAATATTTTAGATTTGAACAATTAAATTTCAGAAGGGAGATATATCAAGGTATCATGGATAGTGTCATGGCAGGAGAATGTAGAGGAGAAAAAGTTGGTCAAAGGGTATTACTTCCAGCATCATTCATTGGGGGTCCTAGGGATATGCGGCAACGCTACATGGATGCTATGGCTCTGGTTCAATATTTCGGAAGACCAGATCTATTTATTACGATGACATGTAACACTGAATGGGTGGGGATTCAAGAAGAGTTGTGTGAAGGTCAACTCCCTCAAGATAGACCAGACTTAATGACTAAAGTTTTTAGAGCAAAGTTGCAAGACCTTAAAGACCAAATTTTCAACAAAGAAATATTTGGCCCTATTGCAGCACATGTTTTTGTCATTGAATTCCAAAAGAGAGGCTTACCTCATATACACCTTTTGGTCATACTTAAAGAAGGTCACAAGATAATAACACCAGATCAGTATGATAGATTTATTTCTACAGAATTGCCTGACAAGGACAAACAGCTGCACCTGAATGAATTATTTATAAGGCATATTATGCATGGACCTTGCAATGAAAATCGGCGCACAAGCCCATGCATGAAGGATGATCAATGTAAATTCCATTATCCACGATCATTCAGTAACAAATCAATACAAATAAAAGATGGATATCCTATTTATAGGAAAAGAAATGATGGAAAACAGTAAATGTTCGTGGAATGAATATGAATAACCAATGGGTTGTGCCTTATAATCCATATTTGTTGATGAGATATAATTGCCATATCAATGTAGAAGTTTGCTCAGGAGTAAAAGCAATAAAATATCTCTGCAAATATATATATATATATAAAGGGCATGATCGGTGTGCAGTTTATATTGAGTCGGATGATGGCAAAAAAATAGTTGATGAAATTAGAAATTTCCAAGATGCACGATGGGTCTCTCCTCCAGAAGCAATATGGAGAATTTATAAGTTTAATCTAAGTGAAATGCAACCTCCGGTTATTAACCTTCAACTACATCTACCCGACAATCAAGCAGGTACTAAAATTAATTCTCTTATAGCAATATTTAATGCAATTTTTTTACCTGCAACTACATCAATATTTATGTTCTACTATTGTAACCATACTTTAGTGTACTATTGGAAGAAGCAAAATCTCAGAAATGTGATGGCCTCAGACACTGTAAAGCATACTATGCTCACCGAGTATTTCAGGATGTGCTCAATAGATGATGACGCACAAAATTATCTTTATAGAGAATTTCCAGAGCATTATGTTTGGAATCCGCAGCCCAAAATTTGGACAAAAAGAAAAACACGATCTGTGATTGGTCGGATTGCTATTGGTAAGACAACTATTACTTAAATTCAAATAATTGTTCGCTTCTTAAATTATGCATATTAACATTTATAAATAAATAATATAGCTAATCCCCGAGAAGGTGAAAGATATTACGAGAGATTATTACTGAATCATGTTAGAGGTCCATTTTCATTTGAAGATTTGCTAACTGTTAATGGAAAAAAATGTGAAACATTCAAAGAAGCTGCCAAACAAAGAGGATTATTAGAATCAGATAATAGCATTTCTGAATGTTTACACGAGGCTGTCATCTTCAAAATGCCATCAGCTCTTTGAAGTTTATTTGCAACAATTTTAGTTCATTGCAATCCAACGGATATTAGAAATCTATGGGAAACATACTACAATGATATGTCAGAAGACTTTCGAAGGATGCATGGAAATTCACCTGCTACTCAATTCCAATGTACACTAAAAAGTGTTAATTATTATCTGGAGAGTATGGGTAAAAGTGTTGAAAAATATGATTTACCAAGAATCAACCAACAGTCATGCCAAAAAATCACTTTGGAATGTAGAGAAATAATTGAAGAAACGTCTATGAAGGTACCTGTGGAAGATTATGAAGCACAATCAAAGTTGAATCATGAACAAGCACAAGCTTTCAAGACCATATTACATCGTGTAGACTCTGGAACAACAAGATTATTTTTTGTATATGGACCTGGGGCAATTGGAAAAACATTCTTATATCGTGCATTACTAGCAAATGTTAGATCAAGAGGTATGATAGCTTTGGCAACTGCAACCACTAGTGTAGCAGCTGCAATATTACCAGGAGATCGTATAGCTCACTCTAAATTTGACATACCTCTTCAAATAAATGATACAACTATGACAAAAATGTCAAAACAAAGTGGTGCTGCTAAGTTAATAAGACAAGCAAAATTAATAATATGGGATGAAGCACCCATGGCAAAGCGTCAAACAATTGAAACAGTTGACAGGATATAATGGATGTCAATGTACCTTTTGGTGGAAAAGTAATGGTCTTCTGAGGCGATTTTCGACAAGTATTGCCAGTTGTTCCAAAATCTACAAGAGCAGAGACGGTTAACGCAAGTTTAGTGAAATCCTATTTATGGCCTTTAATGGAAAAAATACATTTTACAACTAATATAAGAGCAAGAGAAGATCCAAATTTCAGTGATTTCTTACTACGTGTTGATAATGGGGACGAGCAAACAGTAAAGGATAACTTAATACGCCTTCCAGAACAAATAGTTGTCAAACACGATAGTACTGAAAGACCAGAGGAATGCTTGATAAGAGAAATATTTCCATCACTACATCAAAATTCCAAGTCTGCACAGTTCATAACAGAAAGAGCTATCTTAGCAAGTAGAAATGAATTTGCAGATCAACTAAATGAAATGTTGATAGCCAAGTTTCCAGGTGAAAGCAAGATATTTATTAGTTTTGACTCTGGAGAAGATGATACCAACAACTACTATCAAGAAGAATACCTCAACACTTTAACACCAAATGATCTTCCTCCACATAGGTATATCGTCAAACCTAATANTATATATATATATATATTCATGCCTTAACTTCTCCATCATGATGATGGAACTATAAATCTATATATTATATATACTATTTTAAAAGCACGAAGACCCTTAGTGAAATGTCGTTCGCCTTTTTTTACCCTTTAAAAATAGATTTTACATTTGACAAAATCGTAATTTAAGTTATTTTCCTAATATTTTGGACTTCTAATTAACTAAAATTGCAATTAGATCTCTAATTTAATAGCTTTAAGATCTCTATATCATAAATACAGGTCATACAAATTACAATATTTATCGGATAGCCTCAACTTTGAACAACCTACAATACTCCTAGGGTTATAAGACTCAAGATATCCCTTCACTGCGAGGAGATGCCGTCAGATTCAAGGTAAATTATGCCAATTATTCCTTTGAAATCATGCATAAATTTACCCTTGCAAATATCATTATCGTTTTTAAAGAAGTTTCTTCCTAATCAATCTTGTGGATTACACTCTGCATTGACTGTTTATACACAAATAGCCGGACAGATAATCTGTATATATAGATTATACACTATTATACATATTATATACTCTCTCTGTTCCAGTGTATGTGAACCTATTTTCTTTTTGATCCGTTCCAAAAAGAATGATTCCTTTCTAAATTTGGAAACAATTTAGTTTAAACTTACAATTCTATCATTAATGAGAAGCTCTTATAACCACACAAATATTCTGGGCCCCTTTTTGACTTGTTTAGGACCACAAATTTCAAAAGTCTTTATTTTTTCTTAAACTACATGCTCAGTCAAACAGGTTCACATAAATTAGAACGGAGGGAGTATGAATTATCTACATATCTATCTATCTATTTTATATTATATTAGAAGTACGAAGTCACTTAATGAAATAATTTCCTTTTTTTTACCCTTTAAAAATAACTTTATATTAGACAAAATAGTCATTTAATTTTTTTCTAATTTTAAGGACTTTAAATCAACTAAAAGTTTTGTTATTAAAATCGTTTCCTTATTTAAACACTGTATGTAATAAATCCAAGTTTTGACTATCGTGTATCAACTAAAATTTTCCACAAGATCTTGAATTTTCTATGTAATATTTTGCTCCACTTTTGAATCTATATAAGGAACACTTGTCCCTAGGCATCAATATACGTATATGGCTATATGCAATTCAAGAATTCTTTAATCTTTTGTCTTTTTTTCCCTTCACCTAGATAACTGAAAGCATCAGCGAGCATGGAGGATATCAATCGACAACCTTAATTATTGAAACTTTTATTGGGATGAATCTTGCAGTAGGTTAAATTCATCTCAATTTGGCATGTACAAGAACTGCGAACTTAAAAATTTGTAAGTTGTAAAAATTTTCCATGCTTTCTTGCTGCATTTGTTTGTCTAATTTCTTCTTTTCAATAAAGTTCCAAGTTTCAAGCTTCTTGTTATTTAGTAGAAATAAGTTATAGTTTGTAGAGAAAGCCGTTGCTATTCTTTTTGCTGGAAATCTAAAGGTGTGACGATAATAGTTTAGCAAAGGAATCTATATATTATTACAATCAATATGAATTTGAATAAATTTCATTATTTTAGCATATAGTACATGGAGTATTATTGCTATTTAGTTTTTGACTACGTGAATCACCTCTAGGAGAAAGTCAAATGTAAAAATATATATATATTATTCATTGATTTTATCATTATAATTGGATTCAAAAATTCATATAAAACCTAAAATAATGTTAATGTTAGATTGTTGAGTGGGATATCTTGTCTCCTATAATCTATTGTGTTTTTCTAATTCTTCAAACTTACCCAAGATAGAGAAACAGACTAAACCTAAAAATGAAGTTCCCTCGAAAACATCAAATCCTTTTGTACAATATTCACCCAAGAAAAAAAAAAGCATAATGCACTAGCTATATATATCAAGTATTTTATTACTAAGTTGACAGTTTTTCATATATTAAATATATACTGACCGAAAATACAAATGATATGTAGACAAATATTCAATCTTCTAATCTAGAGGGATAATTAGTTATTATTCTTATTTATTGTGTTTTTTTATTGTTTGTTTTACTTCAATGGAGTTGTTAATCAGGTAATGAATATGTATATGAAAAGATATACTTACATCTATAAAGGGATTTTGATCTTTTTATAGTATAAACTAGTAAATTTACCTGCGCTTCGCGCGGTCTTCAAAAGAGATAAAAATATGAATAAATAGTACTGTAATTGTTATAATTCTTATCATAAATAATCAGTCTTTACTAATCAAAAGAAGTAGCCTAAAAGAGATAAAAAGAATTTGTAAACTCATGGTCCTGAGATAATCATGTAGTGAAACTTTTAAAGTCATAGTTAAGATTGACGATTAAAATATATTCTTATTCTCGTATTTTATTTTATGAATAATATTAAATTTTATGAAATAGCAAAATGAGTTTCAACAAATTCTAAATATATATCTCAAGAGCATACAATGAATAATGAGGGAAGTAGTACTTTTTGATCCGTTTTTTCTTTTGTATATACTCCAACATAATATATATATATATATATATATATATATATATATATATATATTTATTAGAATAGAGTTAATTTAGACCAGTCAAAAAATTATAAAAGAAAATAAAAGACTTACTTTGTAGAAATTATTTTAGAAAATAAAAGGAAGGTAGAACCAATTAAGAAATTGAAAAAATCAAAACAATAAAAACATACAATGATAAAATAAAAAGACGAAGAATAAAAATTTAACAAAAACATACATGAGTTTAGCATCTGGTGATATAAGCCAGTGAAATGGGATGTTGTTGCTTTTTCAATGAGCACCTTCTAATGTCTGAGGAGAAAATTAAAAAAACTTTTCCTCGCTTCATATGGAAGGGATGCCTAAATTTTTGCTACTATTAATATGCAAGGCGCAAGAAATCTTTTCAGTTGGCTATGTTCTTTGCACTATCTTTATGAAAAGGAAACTGGAGTACTAAAAAAGGGGATTAATAGAAGGATTAATTAACTTTTAAATGCTATTATTATCTTCATATTTGTAACGTTTCATGTATAGCAACCACTGTGTTTTTTTTATTTTATTTATGGTTCCGTTACTTCTTCAGTCATGACCCTCAATAAAGAGGTGTAAGTTATGGGGCGTGAACTTTTTAAAAAAAAATTCAGATTTATATATATATATAGATATAGATGAATTAGTATACCATCAACTACAAAGACAAAGAAAAACAGGAAAGTTTATATGGAGCAACTTGCTGGCGATATGTTCTTAGTTTATACACAATAGTCTTTCTTTCTTTCTTTTTTTGGTTAAAATCTATTATACACAATATAATGTGTATGTAGGTAGATATAAAACTTTTAATAATTGATACAGATACCGATACGGAAAAATATGGATCTTTAAAGCAGGACGTCAATCGCCAAAAATAATCTCAAATTGTTGATTGACTCTTATTGGATGTACAGTATAATTAATAATTCAGGATAAGTTTTGAGGGGAGGGGAGAGGTTTAGGTACACTGTCTAAATTTAACAACAAATTATAGACTATTTTGTAGTATCAGATAGACTAATTTTATTTTTCTCCCCAAAATTCTGAATTATCACTTCAAGTACAAAATAAACAAGATTTCCTTTTCATTTGATAGTCTGCGGCTTGAATCAAGATAACACTCTAATTAATTGTGAACTAGTATTAGTACCAGCGCGATGCGCGGACACAAATTATGTCGGTTTGTGATTTGGAATATTTGAATTATGTATAAATAACTTTAAAATATAAACCTTCCAGATAAAATTTATTGATAATCATTAGATATTAATTAAAAAGCAAGACATGAAACCATTTCGCAAATCTCATAGTTGATAACCTGTTTTCTTTTTCTATATTTATATAATCCAATAGGTTAATTTTAGTACTTGAATTTCGTTTCGTTATCAATATTGAAAATTACTAACCTGTTTTACACAATTTTTTTTATTCTTTGCTTATAATTATTATATTATTTATTATTTAATATTATTATACTTTCATGTGATTTTTTCGGCTTATTAATTGAGTTAATATTTTGCTTATTATCCTTTTAATAATTATAATATTATTTTTTTATTCTTAAACTTTAATATATTTTACGCTTTTCTCCTCTTACTCAAAACTATTTTACTATTTAAATCTATCAATAATATTTTTGAATATAATTCAATTATTTACTTTATTTTATTTTAAATTAATTTAAAGTATAAATATTCTCACATTATATCTATTTTTTCCTTTATACAGTCTCTTCCCTACTAAAAAATTTTTAATTAATATTTTACCTGTAATAAAAATAATATCATATTTGACTTTAAGTTGTAACTTTGATTAGTATAAAATATTAATATATAAGTTCTTTGATTATTATATTCCAAATCTA